GTCGCTAAGGTGCTTCTGGCTGGGAAGCTGCTGAGCCTTGCAGGACGTGAAGTAAAAAATATCAGGTTCGCCAAAAGAGCGACCAGCAAGCAATGCAGCATTGGTCAAAGCAACTGTGAAATGATCATTAAGAAAGAAATCTGGAAGTTCGGCCACACCAATGATGAATCAGTAGTAAGGCAGTCATTTTAAGTGCAAAAAAAGTATCAATGATAGTAATAACCTTGTGAAAAAATTTTTTCAAGTGTTGGCGATGCTTTGATAAGATGAAGCAAATCGGCGTTGATGAGTTGCTGCTTCTTGGACGAGGTGGCAGCCGAGAAATCGAGATGCAGACTGCTTCTCAGCTGCTTCAGCGACACATTTGACGACGACCCCACGTCGGTCGTAGCAGCCGCTGGAGATGGTACTGTTGACATTTTTGCCTCTAAGGAATTACCTAAAAAGAAAAGTGCCGCATTTATCGAATAGAGGAAGAGAGCACGTCGCAAACGAACTGCTTCGGAATAACATCAGCGAAATTTGACATGTAACACAAACTACTGCTGTCCGGAAAGAAACCAATCCTGAAAAGACTGAAAGAACTGGGCTAGCTAAAGGGATTAAAGCAGCAGTTTCAACTGAACAAGAAGGCGCAGTTTTTTGGTTTTGTTTCTTTTTTCTACCTAAATTGCCTGTAAAATAACTCGACTCCTCTATCTAGAGTGTAAATCAGCTTGAAAATTATCGATAATGTTTTTGCACCAAAAAAAAAACCTCAGTAAGAGATGAAGTGCATGTATCCCGTCATCATCTTGCTTTATGAGCAACTCTGGAAAAAAAAGCCATCAAGAGTTCTGCAAAAGATGCTTGCTGCTGGCAACTGTTATCATTTCGGCTACTTCCGAGTACTTCCTACCTTTCACAAAAAATAACATATGGAAAACATCTGAGCTTTTTTGTACTGTTTATGCATAATGAAAGATGAAGTGAGATCAAATCTATGTGCGCCTGCACTTCCGAAAAATTTATTACCTAAAATTTAATCCGCTTTGCAGAAAGGGGACCTTCACAGGTTTCTCCGAATCTTAATTTGCTAGC